GCTTGAAACCATTGCCTCAATGATGCCCTCAAAACATTGAGACAATCACGGTAGTTGTACTATCGTGATCATGATATTGTAAGTATCATGATTCCTTTCATAGGCATCATGTTATTTTAAGTATGGTGATCCTTTCATAGTCATACGACTAACGTGAAGATTATTTTGGTAAAAAAGAAGAAGAAAATGGTATGGACAAAGTTAAGGAAAGTATGACGTTTTTTTCTAATAAGCCAAAAATTAAGTATATTTCTGATAATTTTCCTAGAATTAAAGATGTACATTGCAATCCATCATAAAATGTTGTTTTAATGTTAAAAGCCCCTCTAATTGATGGAAGAACCCAATATATATAAAAATTGGTATTTTACATTGTTTGGCACTATGAAGATGAAAACTAAGTATTAACTATTTGCTGTTAATGCAATTTACCATTGCTTCTATTACATGGCCAATAAAAAATTGTTTTTAAGAATAAGTTATCAATAGTGATTCTTGGCTTTAAAAAATCGGAAAATATCTCTATACCCAGTATTTTTAGGTTTCATTTTACAATAGACCCAAGGTTTTAAAATATATCTTGGGGCATAAAAATTGTAGATTTTATTTCTTCTAACCCCTAAGCTAATTTAAACCTGTTTTTTTTTACGTCAAACAAATCTAAAAAGAGATGCCTTTTTTGAAAGCCAACCTCCTAAATTTCTTTCTCTCTCCCTGCACACTTTCTCTCTCGTTGTCTTTCTCATCTTTGTCCTCAGTATCTCTCCTCCCGCTCTCTCTTCATGTTTCTAGAGAGAGTGAAAGACATAGGAAGAGAGAGAAAAAAGAGAAGTCATGGGATATATAAGTGAAGAGAGAGAAAGAATTGGGTTGGATTTCACGGAGGCAAGGGGTTATCAGGAGGAGAGAACTATTTGGAGAAACATGGTGAGAGACACATGAAGAGAGAGAAAGAGAGAAGTTTGGGGTATATAAGTAAGAGGGAGAAGAGATTGGGTTTAGAAAGAACATGTCTTTCTCATAGTTGTTTAAGTTAAAAAATATGTTTAAAATGACCTGGGGTTAGAATATATCTTTTGAAACATTGGGTTTATCAAGAAATGAAACCTAAAAATATGAAATATGAAGATATTTTCCCTTATCTATTTCAAGCCTTAAAGTTGCCCATCTTGCTAATGTTTTTATAAATTCATTGATTCATTAGATCTCTACATTCTTGGAACTTTAAATCCCCACTGTCAAGGCCAAAAATTGATTTTCAAGCCATCACCTTGTTTTTCGGCATCCATTCCAACCAAATCTCGATTGCATATTCGCATTGTCATGACCTTGCTAAAACCTCACCCTTGAATTGAAGATAATCACTTTCTTATAAAATAAGATAAAGTTTCTATAAGGCCCAGGTTTCATGAAAAAAACATAAAGCCTTACCTTGAAACCTTGTCTGGAAAACACTTTAGCAATCAAAAATCACTATGATAGCTCTAAAAGCAATTTCCATCACCTACTATTAAAATTTGAAGCTTAAAAAGTGGTACAAATCTTGGGGTATGTGAACACTTGAAAATAGACGGTCTAAATAATGCGTAGCAATACACATTATTTTTAAGGCTTAAAATCCTAAATATTTTTCATAACCATGGTGGTCAAGGTGGATATGATTGGTTTGAAGGTTTTGACATTAGAATTGCAATTTGGAAAAGGTTTATATAGAGCCTAGGCTCTAAACAATCAAATTAGAGTCTA